GCTGCTGCATCTATTCCCAGAGTTTCTGATTGAATAGGTCTTGTGATGCAGGAGAATTTGCATTCCTAGCAAGTTCCCAGGTGATGTCAATGGTGCTGGTCTGGGACCACAAGGTGAGGACACTGGTAAACAGAATAGTTTGTAGGAGAGGGAATAGCAGAGGCAGGGGAGCCAGCTAGGAGGCTATTTGGAATAATCCAGAAAAAAGATGATGATGGCTTCAGCTCAACTAGGTGGTAGCAGAAGAGTAGTGAAGAGAGATTAGATTCTGGATAGAATTTGAATATAGATCCAATGGGATTTGCTGAAGCATTGAATGTGGAGCACTATGAAAGAAAGAAATGATTCCAGGTTTAGATTAAGCAACTATATGAATGGAATTACTATTTACTGAGATGTCAAAGACTTGGGTGGGATGGGATCGTATTAGGAGTTTAGTTTAGGGAGTATTACATTTGATATGCCTATTGGGGATCCAAGTGGAAATGTCAGTCAAGCCTTTCTTTTATGAGTCTAGAATTCGGGAGGGAATTCTGAGCTGGAGGTAGAAAGGCAGGAGTCAGCAGCACATAGATCGCTTCATGAAATCTAGCTGAGATCATCACTGGAGAGAATGAAGGTACGTAAGAAGTATGATGCCTGACGCAGTGGCAGTCAGCCCTAGGATCAGAAGTCAGGATGAGGGGAGGGACCAGAAATGAGACTGAGAAGTGATCAGGTTGGTGAGAGGAGAACCCGGAGAGTGTGGGGGCCTGGATGTTAAGGGAAGCAACTATTTCAATACATTCAGGTACATTTGCTATGAAACCACCTTGTTATAAGTTACCACCAGGCATCCTCTGTGAAGGAGGAGATACTGCTTACCATGGAATATGCCAAATTTTGAAGTGGTTCCTTATAGATAAATTATCCCCACTGGAAGAGACACATAACTTGATTGAAATCTCATGCACACACACAGACACACACACACACAGTCTTGAGCTGATTTTATTGTTGCAACCAAAAAAAAAAAAAACAAAAAACAAAAAAGAAGAAACAAAAACCCGTTGACACAATTTAATCATTGACATAGACTGAAATATTTTCTTTCATCTTCAAGCATTCTGTCTAGCTAACTCTTGTCTTTGAAGCAAATTGTCCAATTTTGAGAGTTGGGAGTTGTATATGTGATCAGACTGCTAGGAATTTGTGTGAATAAATGGATACATGTTTCAGAAAGCACAGAGTTTTTTTTTCCTCTCGCCCCCTGCCCTTTATTTTCTGATATTGAGTCTTGGAAGTCTCTGTGTTTTCGATATAACTGCAGGTACCTCAGTTCCCTGAAGTACTTACTACAAGAAGCTGTCACTTTGCTTCTCTGTGAGAATTACAGAGAGACTCTGGCAATTCAGGATGGCACTGATCAGAAGCATTGGTTGCATCTGTTATCAAGGTATAGCTGATGGCAAGAGAGCCTTACTCAGTAACCTTAATAAAAATTCATTTTTCAGACTTTTTGTGAGTTGCAACTCATCTTTAAACCTGAATAGTATAGGGACGCCTGGGTGGCTCAGTGGTTGAGCATCTGCCTTCGGCCTAGGACGTGATCCTGGAGTCCTGGGATTGAGTCCCACTTTGGGCTTCCTGCATGGAGCCTGCTTCTCCCTCTGTCTGAGTCTCTGCCTCTCTGTGTCTTTCATGAATAAATAAAATCTTCAAACAAAAAATAAATAAACCTGAATAGTATATAAAAAATGTACTCCACAGACTGTATATTGCTTCTCATTGTTAAGAAAAAATACTACTTGTAACTCAGCATTACGCTTCCCAAATAAATTGGGTAAGAATACAATGCCCAGCGCTGTGGGTGGTACAAGTGGTGAAGAGGTAAATGATATGCACAGCACATTGCTATGTGTTACCTCTATGTGTTACACAGTACCCTCTAAGGGGAACTGTGGGTGCTTGTACTCAACACTCCTCCTCATAAGAGATACCCAAACAGACTGCATGGAGCTATATAGTCTGCTTCTCCCTAAGGAGAAAACAATTGTTTATTATTCAGGTTTACTTATCAAAAGGCATGTTGAAATACTTAGGACTAGGTATGTAACTTTTTCATGTCTTATTCGTTTAACAGATATTTTTATTAAATGTCAGGCACTGACCTATGCATCTGAGATATATGTGTAAATAAAACATACAAAAAACCCTGCTTCCTTGGAGCTTACATTCTGGTGGGAGGAGAAAAAATAAAGGCAAAATAAATAGTTAAGTTATATAATATGTTGCAAAACTATAATGCTATGGGGAAAATGGAGCATGATAAAAAGTTTGGAAATGCAGGGAGAAAAACAGGTTGCAATTTTTAATAGAGGAGTCAGGGTAGGTCTCATGGAGAGGGTGACATTTGAGTGAAGATTTGCAGGAGGTAAAGTAGTTTGCCAAGTGGATTTCTGAAGCAAGAATGTTTCAGGTAGATAAAAGAGCCAGGCAAAAGCCTTAAGGTAGAATCAAGCTAGAAATGTGTAAAGAATAGTATAGGGTCTGGTGCGTCTGGGGACTGGTGTGTCTGACAGGAGATGAGGTCAGAGAGGAGATGGAGCCTTACTTGTAGAGGGCCCTGTTGGCCATTCTAAGGACTTTGGCATTTTCTTTGAGTGAAATGGGAAGCCCTTGGAGGATTTTAGGCAGAAAAATGATGTGATCTGAATTACATATTAGGAAGATCATTCTGGTTTCTTTGTTGGAAAGTTTCTTAAAAGGCAAGTTTGAGAACAAGAAGATCAAATAGGAGGCTATAGCAATAATCCAGATGAGAGATGATGACTGAAACCAGTGTTGTCTGTAGGAATGGAGCGATGTGGCCAACAGTGATCCCAAGGTTTTGTATAAATAACTGGAGGGATGGAGTTGTCAACTGAAATGGAAAAAACCTCTGATAGAATAGGTTTGTGGTAGAAACTGAGAACATTTTCAGACATGTTAAATTTGAGATGTCTAAGGCATCCACGTGAAGATGTCAAGTAGACCACTGCATGTATGAGTCTAAACTTTAAAAGAGAGGTTGGTCACAAGATTAAACTGCAAGAGTCATTGTCATATCAATAAAGGAGTTCATTAAAAAAGTTGGTACCTATACAACTCAATACCAAAATCCAAATAATCCAATTAAAAATTGGACAGAGGGGCAGCCCGGGTGGCTCAGCAGTTTAGCATGACCTTCGGCCCACGGCCTGATCCTGGAGTCCCGGGATCAAAAATCCCACGTCAGGCTCCCTGCATGGAGCTTGCTTCTCTCTCTGCCTGTGTCTCTGCCTCTCTCTCTGTGTGTCTCTCATGAATAAATAAATAATATTTTTAAAAAACTGGACAGAAGACCTGACTAATCTTTTTTCCAAAGAAGACATACAGATGGCCAATAGACACATGAAAAGATGCTCAACATCGCTAATCACCAAGGAAATGCAAATCAAAACTATGATGAGATATTACCTCACATCTGTCAGAATGGCTAAAATAAAAAACACAGGAAATAACAAGTATTGGTGAAGATATGGAGAAGAAACTCTTGTGCACTGTCAGTGAGAATGCAAACTGGTGCAGCCACTATGGAAAACAGTATGGAGGCTCCTCAAAAAATTAAAAATAGACTTACCATATGAGTCAGTACTTCCACCACTGGGCATTTGCTCAAAGAAAACAAAAACACTTATTGGAAAAGATATATGCACCCCTATATTTATTTCAGCATTATTTACAATAGCCAAGATATGGAAGCAACCTAAGTCTGTCATCTATCCACTTGTAGAGGAATGGATGAAGAAGATGTGGTATCTACATATGCAATGGAATATTACTCAGCCATAAAAAGAATAAAATTTTGCCATGTACAGCAACATAGTTGGACCTACAGGTTGGACCTAATGCTAAGAGAAATAAGTCAGAGAAAGATAAATACCATATGATCTCACTCGTATGTAGAATTTAAGAAAGAATGAATGAACAAAGAAAGAAAAAGACAAAAAAACCACTCTTAAGTACAGGGAACAAATTGGTGGTTGCCAGAGGGCAAGTGAGTAGGGGGATGGGTGAAATAGATAAAGGGGATTAAGAGCACACTTGTCATGTGACGAGTGCTGAGCAATATATAGAATTGTTGAATGCTTGTACGCCTGAAACTAATGTAACACTGTATGTTAATTATACTTCAATTTGACAAAACTTAGTACAGGGAAGGAAGAAAAACAAGGACTGATCCCTGGGGTACTCCAAAATTAGAAGGTCTTGGAGAAGAGGGGGCGACTAACACAAACACTGAGACAGAATAGCCAATGAGCCAGGAGGCAAATGAAAAAGAGTATGATGTCCTGGAAGCCAAGCAAAGAAAATATCTTGAGGAAGAGGGAGTGATCAGCTATGCCCCTGGGTTTACAGGTGAATTTCCTCCCCTGGAACAGGAAAGTAATTATAGTTCCTGCCTCATAGGTTCATATCAGATAATTTAGGTGAATGGTCAATCACACTGCTGCATGCCAATGAGGGTTCAAACATACTACCTATTTATTCCTAATACCTCAGAAAAACCACTTCTCATTATGAAGCTGTTCGCTGTTCACCGTGCAAGATAACCCCTAGGGGGCGCTCAAAGCCTTCCCTTCTTTCCCCGTATTGCTCTTCTCACAAGAGACCTCAAATTTAGATGCAGGACAAAATGGATCCAATGACAACCGAATCCTCTATGGTAAAGGTAGAAAAATGCAATGCAGAGGATGTCAGACTTCAATGAGGGTAAGAATTGCCCAAAGAGCTTGTTAAAATGGAAATCTACAGCAGGTCCAGCCACCAAAGATTCTAATTACATACTTTATTTGACAGGGGATCTGAGAATCTGCATATTCCCATTCCAGGTGATTCCAGTGTCTGTCTTCCCATACTAGCACATATTTGCTTCCTCTGTTCTTTTTAGGACCTTAGAATAATTTTTGCTTCTCTTTTTTCCCTTCTCTTCCATGCAGACAATGAAGTGAGCCAACCCTGGGACTTTTAGACGGGAAGGTCCTACCTAGCAGGACAGAAAGCATGCCTGGGGTGAGTGGCTTGGCTGAGCTTTTAGTCTGTCCACATCAGAGGACACAGTATGGGGTCTTTCAGTCATCTGGCCCCCAGGTCTCTTTGTTTTTGTCATTTTAATACCATTTACATTTATGTCCAATGTTTACAACTCAGGCGATTTCATATACAAACCCAGGCTTCCTGCTTCTGTAGGACAATAAGAAGATTTGAAATTTGGTCCTGCATCCGACATAGCAGAGTTGCTTCCCACAGGTGGGCATGGGCTCTATAAATTGCCACTATCCCATTCCTTCTTTACTTATCCTCCAAAATCAAAGCCAACTGTTCATGACCATTTGTCATCATAATTACACTTATATTTTCCTCAATGAACTATTTCCTTGGAAAACTATAACAAGAGGGTTTAGTGTTTCGAAAATAAATTTTCTTATACCAGCCCCTTTCTTTCATATTATTTGTCTGGTTTCTCTAGGCACTTAAGCTTGCTATCTCTGGCCTAGCTATATCCAGAGGTGAAAAAGTTGTCCTTATATTAAAAAATAATCTGGCATACTATTCAGCAATAAAAAGGAGTGAACTACTAACATGCACAATAAAATGAATGAATTTCAAAAATTCGTTGGGATGCCTGGGTGGTTAAGCCTCCAACTCTTGGTTTTGGCTCAGGGTGGTAGGATCGAGCCGACATCCGTCTCTGTGCTCAGCATGGAGTTGGCTTGGAGTTTCTCTCTCCCTCTTCCTCTGCCCCTTCCCCTGCACACTCACTCACTCTTTCTCAAATAAACAGAGAAATCATTTTAAAAATTAAGAGAAGTCAGACAAAAAAGTATAATAATGTATATTTCCAATTACATGAAATTCTAGAAAAGGCAAGACTAATGTTTAGTAACAAAGCAGAACAGTGGTTCCCTAGGGTAGAGATTGGCTGCAAAGGACATGTTTTGGGATGATGAAAATGCTCTATATCTCAAATATAGTGGTGCTTATACATGGGAAGACACATTTGTTAAAACTCATCCAATTGTACATTTTAAATGAATGCATTTTATTGTATGAAAATTTTATCTCACAAAGTTACTTTTTTAAAGTTACCAAATTGAGTTGCACCAGGAAAGAGATGGAATAAAGTAGGCCCTTGCCCAGAGTTCCTTTTTGTGTATCACTGTCGACCACAGTTGATGGCAAGACAGAATTCAGAGTTTCAAGATTCATAAGCATCAAGGCCAATATTTAAATCTCCTAGACATAGAGATAATATTTGGCACAGGGCAGCAGATTTAGAAGACACTGCAGATGTGGGCAGCATTTCTTAGAGCACTTTACACAGAGTTGCATATGGAGAGAGGCTCAGGGCTGCCCCAGGGAGAGGACCTAGGAAGCTAGACAAAGCGTTGGCAGGAATTCAGTGTATTGTCTTCCTCCTCCTCTTCCTGTCCCCCTTTCCCTTCTTCCTACCCCTTCTTCACTACACTCACTCAGGAATCTCAACTACAGAAGTATTCTTCATATCTGGGGGGGGGGGGGGTCTGAGCACACTACTTCAGCCTGGAAAATGCTACTTTATAAGGCAATAGTTCTTAAAATTTTGCAAAGAGAGAACATTCCATGTGGTGGGAGTGGAATCTGGGGTTGGCAGCCCTAGTCATTCTCCTCTAGAGACAGAGCAGGCTCACCTCAAAATACACAGAGTGTTGGTGTGTAGGCTGTTGGTTTGATTGTACCTGGCACTGGTGGCAAACATCCCTTTTTATCTTGTGTTTCTTAGGATTGTGGATAAAGCATTTAGGATATGCAAGATGGTGAATCTTTATGGCTGGATTGGCCTACTTTATAAGAACCCAACAGAACCCTCAGTAAATTGGGAACTGATGTACAGTTACTTGAGGGTGGAAACATGCTATGGGTACCCCACCCATCTTCTCTTGTCCTTACGGCTGCCTGATTTCACCTGCAGTGCCTACATTTCTTTGCCTAAGGTTTTCCAAAGTGGCTGTGCCACTGTGCATTTCCAGCCCTAGGATCTGAGATTCCATTTGCCCCTCATCCCTGCCAGCACTTGGAGTTGTCAGGGTCTTTTTTTTTTTTTTTAAGCTATTCTGTTAGGTGTAGTGTTGTCTCATCAAGGTTTTAATTTGCATTTCTCTAATGACTAATGACATTGGGCATCTTTCATGTGGATTCTTGGCTCTACATGTATTTCCTTTAGGAAAGTATCTGTTCAAATCTTTCCTCATTTTTTTTTAAAATAATATTTTTTAAAGATTTTATTTATTTATTCATGAGAGATACAGAGAGAGAGATAGGCAGAGACACAGGCAGAGGGAGAAGCAGGCTCCATGCAGGGAGCCTGATGTGGGACTCGATCCCGGGTCTCCAGGATCGCGCCCTGGGCCAAAGGCAGGCGCTAAACCGCTGCGCCACCCAGGGATCCCCAATCTTTCCTCATTTAAAAAAAAATTCAGGGGGCACCTGGGTGGCTTAGTCCGGTGAGCATCTGCCTTTGGCTCCGTGACCCTGAGGTCCTGGGATAGAGTCCTGAATCAGGCTCTCTGCTCAGCAGGGAGCCTGCTTCTCCCTATCCCTCTCCCTCTGCCATTCTCCCTGCTTGTGCTCTCTGGCTTTCTCTAGCTCTCTGTCAAATAAATAAATAAATAAAATCTTTAAAAAAAATTCAGTTGTTCATTTTCTTATTGTTAAATTTCAATAATTCTTCATATATTCTGGATACAATTAAAAATTTTTTTTATTGGAGTTCAATTTGTCAACATATATAGCATAACATCCAGTGCTCATCCCGCCAAGTGCCCCCCTCAGTGCCCATCACCCAGTCACCCCACTCCCCCACCCACCTCTCTTTCCACTACCCCTTGTTCGTTTCCCAGAGTTAGGTGTCTCTCATGTTTTGTCACCCTCACTGATATTTTCACTCATTTTCTCTCCTTTCCCTTTATTCCCTTTCATTAATTTTTATATTCTCCAAATGAATGAGACCGTATAATGTTTGTCCTTCTCCAATTGACTTATTTCACTCAGCATAATACCCTCCAATTCCATCCACATGGAAGCAAATGGTATTTGTCGTTTCTAATAGCTGAGTAATATTCCATTGTATACATAGACCACAGCGTCTTTATCCATTTATCTTTTGATGGACACCGAGGCTCCTTCCACAGTTTGGCTATTGTGGACATTGCTGCTATAAACATTGGGGTATAAAAATGTTTCGGCATTTCAACGCATCTGTATCTTTGGGGTAAATCCCCAGCAGTGCAATTGCTGGGTCTGGATACAATTTTTTGCCAAATAAGTGATTTTCAAGTATTTTCTCCCAGTCTGTGGCTTGTCCTTTCATGCTTTTAGCAGGGTCTTTCCAAGAGCAACAGTTTTGTATTTTTATGAAGTCCAATTTATCAATTTTATTTCTTTTATGGCTTGTGCTTTAGATGTCCCATCTAAGACCTATTTGCTTAACCCAAGGTCACAAACTTGAATCCATGCCTAAATGTTTGTGATTCATTTTAAGTTAATTTTTCTACAAGATATCTGAAATAAATCAGGATTCATTCATTTACATTTAAATGCTTCTTATCATTTTTTGATAATAAATTTCAGATAAAATCCTTTTCAATTATTACATCACTTGTTTTTCCTTTCTTTGCTTCCCAGGCATAGCCAACATTAAGGTTCTTGTGGGGATCCTTCTGATCCAGCTTTTACACATTTGGTTATATATCTTTAAACTAAATATGATATTGTATTTATTTGTTTTAGTTTTTAAAAACTTTATTTGAGAGAGAGAGAGAGCATGAGGGAGAGAGAGCATGAGCAGGGGGAGGGGCAGAGGGAGAGGGAGAGAGAGAATCCCCAAGCCGACTCACTACTGATCACAGAGCCCACTGTGGGGCTTGATCCCAGGACCTCAAGATCATGACCTGAGCCAAAATCAAGAGTCGGCCTCTTAACCAACTGAGCCACCCAGGTGTCCCAGTATTGTGTTTATTTTAACATGTTTTTGAAATGTAACTATCTTGATAGATGTAGATATAGTTTATTCTACATATCCATCTTTTTATTGAAGGACATTGCAGTGGAATCCATCTTTTCACTGGTACAAATACTGCTACAATGGCCATCCTTGCATGTATCCTTTGTGCCCAGGTAAGAGTATCTCTAGGGTATATAACAGAAATGCAATTTCTGGGTTAGAATGTGTTTTGTTACTAAAATGGCTGAATTTGCTGAGCTGATTGACAATCACACAGCACAGCATGATTTATAATCCCACAGCTTCACCAAATCACAAGTGTCTATTACCAATTGTGCCAGAAACTATTACCAATGTGCCAAATATGAAATTGTTTCCTTAAAAAAATTTGCATTCACCTGATTACTTGTAAAGTCAAGTATCCTTTCATTTATTTTTATGTTTTATTTATTTATTGAAGCATGAATGACGGGCTTGTTTCAGGTGTACAACACAGTGATTCAACAACTCTATAGGTATGCTCAGCACAAGGGTAGCTGCCATCTGTCAGCTTCCTTTACAATGTTTATTGATAATTTCTTCATTGACCTTTTCTCTACATCTCCTCTTCACATGAATTTTAAGTTTTGATAAAGATATTTATCAATATTTTCTATGTAGAACATTTTGTGTATCTTTAAGAAATCGTTTTCTAGTCTGAGCTCATAAAGATATTTTTCTAGGGATCCCTGGGTGGCGCAGAGGTTTGGCGCCTGCCTTTGGCCCAGGGTGGGATCCTGGAGACCCCGGATCGAATCCCATGTCGGGCTCCCGGTGCATGGAGCCTGTTTCTCCCTCTGCCTGTGTCTCTGCCTCTCTCTCTCTCTCTCTCTGTGTGTGACTATTATAAAAAAAAAAAAAAGATATTTTTCTATATTTTCTCAATTTTTGGCCATATCTTGTTTCTTGGTTGAGTATTTGCCCCACAAATCAAGCCTATTCAGATCAAACTTTCATACAAAGAAATGCACAACTCATAAGCTTATATTTGATCAGTTTTGATAAATGCACTCATGTGATCCATACCTCAGTCAAAATATAGAACATGTTCATGACTATAAACTTCCCTTGTATCACCTCCCAGTCACTTCATATCCCTTCCCTTAAGCTACCATTGTTCTGATTTTTTTTTCCTACCATAGATTAGACTTGCCTGTTCTAGAAGTTCATATGAATGAAAGCATACAAGATATACTCTTTTGGGTCTGGTCTAGCTTTTTCCATTCAGCACAATCATTATGAGATTTATTCATGTTGTTGTATTAGGAGTCCCTCCACTATTACTGTTGAGTAGTTCCATTGCATGGGCGTACCACCATTTGCCCTGCTGGTGGACATTTGGGTTGATTCCATTTGGGGGCTATGATGAATGCATTTGATGTGAACATTCCCATATAAGACTTTTTGTGGATGTGGTCTCTCTCTTGCCTCAAATAGTTATGTAGGAGTGACATTGCTGGGTAGCCATTTGAGTTTTAAGTTGACAGGTGATGGTCACTGGGCAGCTGGCATAGTGATTGATATACTTGGTGAATAGAAACCATGAAGCTTTTCTGTTTTTCTTCTCTTTGATTTTCTCTGCCTGTTCCTTACCAGCCTCACTCCCTTCCAATCCCATCAAGGTCAACAGCTTTAAAAGTAATGTGATTCTTGGTTATGAGACATTTATTGGAGTCTGAGAACACTACTTCAGCCTGGAAAATACTACTTTATAAGGCAATAGTTCTTAAAATTTTGCAGAGAGAAAAATTCTGAGAAGACCTAGTATATAAAAATACTTTTCAAAATGAAGCTGCTTTAGCTATGTGGGGACACCTCTCTGCTTATGCCCATTGTCTCCATCCTTACTGACTAAGCAACTCCCTAATTTCTATAGCACGTTTTGAAAAATTTCGATTTAAGGAAACTGATACTTAGAAAGTGGCCAATCATCTTGTCTTGTCTAAATTGTATGGATATGGGTTTAAGTCTGTGATATATATTTTTTAAAGATTTATTTATTTATTTGAGAGAGAGAGTGACATGTGCACAAGTGAGTGAGGGGAGGGGCAGAGAGGAAGAATCTCAAGCGGATTCCAAGCTGAGGTGGAGCCCAGCAGGGGGGCTGGATCTCATGACCCTGAGATCATGACCTGAGCTGAAATCAAGAGTCAGATGCTTAACTGACTGAGCCACCCAGGTGGCTCATGGCTGTGATATTTTATGTGTTCTGTTAATGAATTCATAGTACACCTGAGAGACTTTAAATTAGAATTCTCTAAATTAGGAGATCTTGAAAAGCCACTTGATTTTAATGGAAGAATGCCTCACTATAGCTGTTAAAAGAAGAGAATTGGGCACCTAAGTGGGATCCCTCTGGCTTTTTAAGTGATATAAAGGGATTGAATTGATAATGAGGGGCGTGTGTGTGTGTGTGTGTGTGTGTGTGTGTGTGTGAGAGAGAGAGAGAGAGCTATTTTAATACTATAACATCACATTTTAAAAGTATAATAAGTTTTCATCTAAATGTTGCTGTAAAATCTAACCAGGTACCTGGTTTCTTGCCTTTTTTTTTTTTTTTTTTTTGGTAGCAGTAGACTGGAAAGAGACTAGGGGAGCTTCCTTTGTCTAGCGCATAATGTGGCTTAAAGGGAGGTTGTGTCCCATTTTCGAAAATTCTGCAGCTCCATGAAAGTGACATTCACATATGGACATATGGCCTCAGCTGTCCATGTCCTTGGTCCCAATCAAATAAGAGGACTGGTGATGTGGATTAGAAAGCTATTCTCTCACATTCTGCTGGTATTCCTTTGTGGGGGTGGGAGGGTGGGGAGGGGAGGTGGCAATCATGTCAACTCTGTCTGGTCTATAGTGCAGCTGGGTTAATCCAGGAAAGATGGACATGGAGGGGAATGCTGACCTCACATGCAAACCCCTGGGGAACACTCAAATCTCTGTGCCTTCCCTCAGCACTTCCCCATCTTCCCTAAAGAGGAAACCTCAGGTATAGGTCATGGACAAAATGGACACCATGGATAAATTTAAGCTACTGTACTAAGGAGCAAAGTTCTGACGGGAGGAGGAAAGGGACAATAAATAAAATAGAAGTGAGACAAAAACACGTGTGGGCCTCTTTGAGAGCGTTTCATGTTTTGTCTCCCCTTTCTCTGAACTCATAAACTTACCTCCTTCTTCTGCTTGAAAGGACTTGCATCCATCATTTGAAGGCAACGTAGACATCAGAGTTGTGCCTACAAGCAATTAAGGACTTCTAGGCCAGGAAAAAGTCCTGTGGCTCATGCAAAGTCCAGCCTGGCTTGAGAACCCATAAGGACAGAGGAGCACAGAGAGCTGTGGTCACAACAAGCACTGGTGTTCCAGATCCTGCCTTTGCTCCCACTTGGTTCCAGTTCAACACAGTTTCTGACCCTTGACTGGAGTTTCTTTTTTTTTGTCTTATTTTTTGTTTCCACCCTTGGCATTTGCTCACTTACCTCAATTTCCCTGACTTGCCCCTCTGTATTCTCTAATGACCTGAGTTTGGGCTCACACTTCTTGTTCAACCCTTTCCTTGTAAATTCAGAAAGCTTCTTTAATTCTAATTTGTTCTTCTATCCCAGACCCCAAATGCTGGCATGAATGCACCTGAATGGATGGATGCCTACCATGGCCAAGTAACTCTTCTTGATATGGGTACCAACATCAAGGGACTGAAAATTCAGTGCTTATTTTGAAAAATAAGCACTGTTTTTGTCTTTAGAAGATTATAATAACATGGAGACAAAATAGATTGAGTATGACATTAGCAAAATTATGTAAACCATCATTATTATTCTGGTTAAGTCGAAATCAGTTAGCTAATCCTAGGGTTATCTAAATGTATTTATTGCCTTGGACTAAAATATCTAAAATTACTTACATATTTAAGTAAATTTGCATGGTGATATTTGTTAGAAAGAATTTGATCTGTAATTCAAACACACTGAAAAGGATTAGCTATACAACAGAAAGGATTATTTGAGAATATTTTTCAGAAAGAGCTCATTCTCAGGTTTGGATTTAAGTCAGGGAAGAATGTAAGTCAGCATTCAATTATTAATTCAATGAAGAGATAGAGATAATATCACTTATGATTATTATTGTGGGATCAGAAAATTTATTGGATTTACCTAGTCCTTAGATAAATCCCACAGCCCTTACAATAGAATTCAGTAATATTACATGACAGAATTTGTTAAAATGAGGTTTGAAAATAGGTTTCCCTCCTTCCCCTAAGAACATTGGAGCTCCTGAGATGGTCTGTAATGATTACTGAAGTACAATAAGATGAGAAAAAACTAAATTTGCCTGTTATTTTTAAGGTGCTACCTAACAAGTTATAGACACACATCCCACATACACACTTAAAGTAAACTAAATTAATATGTATTCTGAATTTTTGATAAAATGTCTTCTAATGGCTTTTGGTGGGGGCCCAGCTAAAAATGATAACTAACTCCAAATATGATATTTATGATGCGAGATATTCACTCCCAGCACTCTACCAGAAGATCAGAGAGTTGAATCACGGCCTCATGTTCAGCTCCTTGATTTTCAGGTCAGAAGAACTCCAATAACTCATCAACCGGGTTCTGAATGGCTCATACCAGAGTATCTCTGAAAATCTTTTCACCATTCAGTTTTTGCTCAAAAAGACTTCTAATGGTTCAAGTTCAGCTTGAGAAGAGACACAATGGGGCAGCCCGGGTGGCTCAGTGGTTTAGTGCTGCCTTCAGCCCAGGCCTGATCCTGGAGACCTAGGATTGAGTCCCACGTCAGGCTTGCCGCATGGAGCCTGCTTCTCCCTCTGTCTGTGTCTCTGCCTCTCTCTCTCTCTCTGTGTCTCTCATGAATAAATAAAAAAAAAAAAAAAAGGGGACACAATGACCATCTGGACTGGTTTTCATTTCAAATCTCCATTCGATTTCATCCTTTTCTTTAGAATTCTGCAGGGTCTTTGTTATCTCACCAAATAAACTTTAAGCTGTAGAGCAAACACTGGGTTTCAAGTGTCATAAAAGATAAATCAAGTGCTTGAAACCAGAGCAATCAATAATTTTTTTTTCAAACACACAATAGAAAAAAAAGAGCATGCTTGTTTCTCTCTCCCATGCAATTTTTTTTTTTTTTTTTTACCAATCAGCTTTTTGGTCTGTTTCACTATTCATAGAAATTTGCTTATCAACTTTGATTCTAGTTAGAACAATCCGTCTAATCTTTGTAGATCTGCAGTGTCAACCGCCCCTATTTTTCTGACAGCTCAAACAGAACATAAAAGATACTAGCATGTGCTATCTAATTTCCTGATCTTTCTCATTCTGACATCCTGTAATAACTGCAAAATCATAGTTAAATACCAGTCTGGTGATGCTATTTATTGCTTTTCAGTTTATTGCCTTGGTAGTACAAAAAGTGTTCCCTTGCCCCCCAAATGTATTTTTGCACAAAGTAGTCACAGGACTGTAGAATTTTAGAGTAAGATAAGGTCTTTCAAAGAGCATCCAGACCAATATCTTCATTTCACAAATGTGAAAAATGAAGAACAGAAAGTGCAGATGACTAGTGCAAAGTCTTCCGGCTTTCTTTAAAATATCCTTTATTTGAATTACAAGAATTATTAGCATCTTCTAAACATACCCTAGCTCACTCCTAAGTCTCAGTTTTCCTTCCTCCCTTCCCTACCTCAAACATTTAATCCATCATCAGGCCTTATCCATTTTACCTATTGAGATCTCTCAAATTTGTCTCTTCTCTCCATTTCCAACAGTACTACCATATTTTAGGTCATCACTGCTTTAGGGCTAAAGTCCAAACTGCTTAGCTTGGTAAGAGTCCTTTTATAGACTTAACCTTGTGATCTTTTTGCCTTTTTTGTCTTCAATGGCTTCTTTCATCCTCTGGCCGAATAAATAATAAGATATTTGCAGTTCTATGAATAGACTATGTTCTTTCTCATTTCTAGTTCCTTGCACTTATTTCCTTAACATACATCTGCTTCTTCCTCCCTTCACTCATGTCCATTTACCTGACTAGGATGTATTCACCCATTAGATCCTCACTAAGTTAGCCCTGCCCCTCAGCCCATTTTGAGTCAAGGCCCTTTTATGTATTCTTACCATGCCCATATTTCCAGAGTAGTCTTTTGCTCTCCTATTATTCAGAATGCTGTATTGTAATGGTCAGGTAGCTTATTAGGCTCTGTCTTAAGAGATCTGTGTTAAGGTTCCTTGAGGACAAAGTTTGGTATGTTGTAAGTTGTTACGTCTTCAGAACATAACCTAGTACCCAGAAAAAAAAAGTGGGTACTCACTAAAGAATAATTACAGCAGCAATGATAATAGCTGTTTTTTATTGTTTTTAATAGTTATATATTTTTTAAGATTTTATTTACTTATTCATGAGAGACACAGAGTGAGAGAGGCAGAGACACAGGCAGAAGGAGAAGCAGGCTCCATGCAAGGAGCCCGATGTGGGACTCGATCCTGGGACTCTAGGATCACGCCCTGGGCCGAAGGCAGCACTAAACCACTGAGCCACTGGGGCTGCCCGCTATTTTTTATTGTTATTGGATTTTTGCATTAGACATTGTGATAAATTTGTTCTTTGCATGATCAGTACTCCTTCTGTGATGATTAATTTTATATGTCAATTTGGCTAGGCTACAACATCCAGATATTTGGTTAAACATGTCTGGGTGTTGCTGTGAAAGTATTTTTTAGATAAGATTAACACTTTAATCATTAGATTGAGTTAAGCAGATTACCAGCTATAGTGTTGGTGAGCCTCATCCAATCATTTGAAGGCCTTAAGAAAAATTAGACTGACGTTCCTCAGAAAGACAGAATTCTGTCAGCAGACTGCCATTGGCCTCAAGCTGCAGCATTACCTCTCTTTTAGGTCTTGGTATCTGGCCTTCCTTGCAGATTTTGGACTTGCCAGCCACTGCTCTACAGGCATGGAAGCCAGTTCCTTAAAATCTCTCCCTGCCCCTACACACACACACACACACACACACACACACACACACACACGTCCTACTGGTTCTATTTCTCTGGAGAATATTAACCCACTCTTATGATGAAAGTAATACTATTTTCATTTAGAAATGAGGAAACATGACCACAAAGAAGGCAATCAGTTAACTGTCCAAGGTCATTTGTCTAGTAAGTAGAGAAACCAAGTCCCAAATCAAAGTCTGTTTGACCATAAAACAACAAAAAATTGACCATAAAATTCATGATCTTAATTATACTATTTGAGGAATAAATGAGTAATTAAATGAATGAATTAACATAACTGAAATTGGCTCATTCTATCTGTAGACATCACAAGTAGTTAAGTGTAATACTTCCATCTGAAATATACTTTCAGAATCATCTAATCACTCAATCTCCTATTTCACTAAAAGAAAAACTGCTGATAAAATTCACTGTTGTTATCCAGTTGGTGAATGAGTTGGGAATTATGAAATCTAGGTCTCTGGAGGGTTAATATTGGAATATTTCTGCTATGCCAACATAGTCTTTTCCACAGCATTTGGTCATTGACTCCAATTTCCTAAGGCAAATAGATGATGTAAGCAATGTCCCTGGGGCAGAATCTTGGGGCCACCATGCTGCCCAGCTCCTGGGAACACCTTTCTTTCTCCTCTCCCCAAAAACTATATGAGCCAGAGCACTAATACATGTGATTTTTCAAGTCTAGCTGATGCATCTCTCAAACTGTAGTAATAGTTTAATCATCTGGGGTAAAACAATGGAATAAATAAAGGGAAGCAATTTGATGACGTGAAGTTGAATGTTTCATTGAACTCTGCAGCCAGAGCTGGGAGCTTCCGTCTTCCATCTTTCCATAGCCCTGAGAACATAGAACTGTGTAATTTCAGCCATCACAAAGGCTTTTAATCCTTTGTTGATCATTAGGTTAATGATAGTTAATGGTGCCTGTGCCATTTTCACATGTGTTCAGTAAATATTTGTTAAATAAATGATGTGTGCCTATTCAGGAATGATTACTGAGCTTGTAAGATTGATAGAGATTTCAAGATGGAAGATAAGCTCCCCTCAACTTCCCAAATTTGTCTTTTCCTTCACAGCTACCAACATGAGTGCCTTGAAACTGCCTAAATATTTTTTCTAGAGAGGCATGAGAGGGGTAGGAGGAGAGGGAGATAGAAAATCTTTTTTTAAAAAATATTTTATGTAGGGACACCTGGGTGGCCCAGCAGTTGAGCATCTGCCTTCGGCCCAGGGCATGACCCTGGAGTCCCAGGATCAAGTCCCACACCAGGCTCCCTGTATATATATATATATATATATATATATATATATATATATATAGTGTGTGTGTGTGTGTGTATTTATTTGTTTGAAGGGGAGAGAGAGAGAGAGAGTGAGAAAAGGAGAGAGAGAACAAGGGGAAGGGTAGGAGAAGAGAAAGAGGTAGAAAATCTCAAGCAGACTCCACACCCAGTGCAGAACCCAGTAAGGACTCGATCTCACAACCCTGAGATCATGACCTGAGCCAAAATCAAGTCGGATGCCTAACCAAATGAACCACCCAGGTGCTCCCCAGCTGCCTGAATATTAATGAAAACCCATGAAAATACGTCAGCAGAGACATACTCCCTACTTCAGGGATAATAGGATGTGATCTTTTCTTCCCTGCCCATTCATTTCAGTGTTAGTTTTTATGACGGAATGAGACTTCTATGGTCTTTAAGAGATCATGTAAATATAGCAGGAATGACAAGATGCAATGAAGAAAAAGAGGAAAACTGGTAGCAGCTTATACTCTTTGATGTTCAAAACAGAAACCACCTCAGGGAGAAATTTATTTTTCCTTTAGGAAGATGCCTCAGTGTGTCTCCTGGGAATGGAAGGGAGGCACCAGGCTGGCAGGGATGGAAGATACTGAAGGAAAGGGGGTCCAGTTCATCTGCATGATAAGGTAACAGTGATTTTTTAGGCTGGCTTCTCTGGTACTTTGAGGAAAATAATTGGGACACAGGTCTACATGGGGATGACAGGTTGTGCCATATAGCCAACCCGGTGATTGACAGGACTGTGAAAAGTATCTGCCTGAAATAGATTCTCTAAAGCAGAGAAGGGCAAAGATTTTAAGACAAATGATGTCTGTTCTCAATTTTTGTTTGTTTCTTTTTCTGAGGTATAATTCACCTCCTTTATCCCTAACCTTTAGTAAAATCTGCAGCACACAAGAAAGGGTGTCTTAGGGCATGAAGGAGAGACAGGGAAAGATCATGGGAAATGCAGAGCTGCTCAGAAGTCAACAGAGGAAAGGGAGGGGAGGCCAGAGCAGCGGTTCCGAAGGAAATGTGACCCCACGGGCCTAGGAATCACTCCCCAGAATCAGAGAAGGGAGGAGATGTTGCCATTTTTCAGGGGAAGGCTTCAGGTGTAACCAAGAGGTACCTGGGATGCCTGCAGAAACGGAGGACATTCTGTCTGGATAAGAACACAAATGTCAGTTAAGATGATACTCACACTTCGAGGCAGGACTCTTGGTAATTCTATACCTGTCTCATTCCAGAGCACTGATCAATCAATCAATCAATCAGTCAGTCAACAAATGAATGCCTCTGGCTGAGAGGAGAAGAGGAAGATGAAGAGGGGAGAGGAGACGATTCCAGCTGAGTGAGCCAGATTCTTTTCTACCCATTACTCTTACTCTACTTCCTAACCAGAAACTCTTCTAATCTTTCTCTTCTCTCTTTCTCTCTCTCTCTCTCTCTTTAGAGACGAAGTGAGGAGGAGCAGAGAAAGAGGGAGAAAGAGAATCCCAAGCAGACTCTGTGCCCAGCACGGAGCCCGACTCAGGGCTCAAGCTCACAACCCTGAGATCATGACCTGAGCCAAAAATCAAGAGTCGCACACTTAACTGAGTCACCCAGGCACCCTTTCTCTTCTTTAATAAAGGAATAATCATAACTACACTGTAAGATTATTGAAAGAATTAGAGCTTAAATACCTTTCACAGTGCTTCGCACAAATGAGGCACTCAGTGAATGCTACTTGTTGTATAAATATTACCATTTCTATTATTTTTAAAAAAAGATTTTATTTATTTATTTGAGAGAGAGAGTGAACAGAGGGTAAATGAGAGGGAGAAGCAGATTCCCTACTGAATAGGGAGCCTGATATGGGGCCGATCCTAGGCCCCTGAGATCATGACCTGAATCAAAGTCAGATGGTTAACTGAGCCACCCAGGTGCCCCAATATTACCATTTCTAAAATAATGATAGCAACTTTGCCTCCTGAGCACAAAGAAGATTGAAGGAGTAAGAAAAAATTTTTCTTTGCTTCTTGCTGGGGTTTCTTTTTGCCTTTTGGACAATGAAGTAAAATAAGAAAAAAAATATTTGAGTATCAGGTGAGGGTGAGTTTAGATTTCAGTTTCTGTGAGTCACTGTTAATGCACCTGTCCTGAGTTGGTGCCATTAGCCTCATCTTCTCTAGGCCAGATCGTCTTAGTTCACACACACATTATTCTTTTGTATTTCTGCTCTACTTCTCTCCTTGTTGGGATTGTGATGCTGGCCAACCTTTCCAATTAGCTTGAACAGCCATTAAAACTCGTCCATTAAAATTCATTTCCCTACAGAGCTAAAGGGTAATTTTCTGAATAAACCTCTTAGGGTTGTTATAACAATCAAATTAAAGAAAGTGTGAAGAAGCTTTTTGTAGGCTGCTTTGCTGGGAGGCGAGAGAAGTAGATTGAAACATGGCATTTAGGATCAAAATTCCTCTTTACACAGAGCCTTCTGACTGCTTCCTTTGCACTCTGTGCCCTGGTTTGTCTTGTTTACAAGATAATAATTGTGACTACCATTTATTAGATGGCTTCCATCCCACTGATTAAAATTTTTTAAAAACGATTTTATTTATTTATTCATGAGAGACACAGAGAGAGGCAGAGACACAGGCAGAGGAGAAGCAGGCTCCATGCAGGGAGCCCGATGCAGGACTCGATTCCAGGACTCCAGGATCATGCCCTGAGCCAAAGGCAGACGCTCAACCGCTGAGCCACTCAGGCATCCCCACTTGATTAAATTTTGATCATGGTTCATGATTTATATATATCATTAGACTCTCACGATCATTCTAAGAAGCATAATTCTATTTTCTTTGAGTTTACAAGTGAAGAAACTAGAGGTTAGAGAGGTTAAGTACGTCACCTGAAATCACACAGCTAATAAGTGATATAGTCAAGATTCCAAACTAATTCAGTTGGACTCCAAAAGTCATGCTAAAAGAATATATTGTGAAGACTAAGTGATGAAATAATCTATGTGAAAAGTCATTCCAAAATATAAAATTAGATGGTATTGTAAGCAATTATTCTCATTTAAAAAGTGGCTTTGCTCCTAGTGAAACAGGGAATTCAGAATTAGGTCTCCACAGACAGAAGAAAGCCAATCCAAAATGAAGGGGCCTATGTTTTAAGTTAGTTTAGGTAAAGTAACATAAGGGAGGAAGGACTCCAATTTGCTCCAAATGGATCAGTTTGGTTGAAGACAAAAGATCATTATTTTTTTTTTAAGATTTTATTTACTTTTTCATGAGAGACACAGAGAGAGAGGCAGAGACACAGGCAGAGGGAGAAACAGGCTCTCTGCGGGGAGCCCGATGCGGACTCCACCCCAGGACTCCAGGACCCCAGGATCATGACCTGACCCAAAGGCAGACGTTCAACCACTGAGCCACCCAGGTGACCCCAGAAGATCATTATTATCCCACTTAGTGAAAATGCTGTAGTAGACACTGTGGGAAATGATACTAACCAGGAAAGAGGACAAGTAAATATGAAGAAACACATAGGGACATGCCAAGTAGAGCAAGGTTTTCTGAAGCAACGCTGTGGCACACAGAGTGAAGCAGATTTGAAGCTAGAGGATATATCATTAAAGATGTCTTATGGAGAATTCTGGAAGGTTCTGAATAAAAAAGAACCTTGTTTTTGTGGAAAATGGTGAGTAAAGAATCAGATACACACACACAAAAAAAAAAGAAAAAAAGAATCAGACACACTAAATATAGTTTGTGTCTCAACATCAGGAAGATGAAGGAAGGGAAGAAAAGAACTAATATTTATGAGCAAATATCATGTGCTAGGTACTAGGATGTTTACTTTAGAGTATCTCATATATGCTTTATGACAACCCACGAGGAGAATATGTATTCATTAGTTTATCCAGTTCTCCTAACAATTATTTGTTAAATGTCTATTCTGTGCCAGGCTTTGTGTGAGGTACCAGAATACATGATGGATTAAAAAAAAGAAAAGTCAAATGCAAGAAATAGCAAATCTAAAACACATAGTTTTTTTTTAATGTCTCTGTTTTGACAATCACAAAACTAAAGGTCAGGGAAGTTACATAATTATCCAAGTTCACCCAATAAGTTATTGACTGAACTAGTATTAGAAGGTTCATATCTTCATTTTTTCTTAAGTCGTGCACTTGATGTGAGAAAGAATTTATACCTTGGTAAAAAGGTGTGGTGAATTCCATTTGCTTAATGTGGCGAAGTGGAAAGATTTGGTAACACTTGGTGGCAGTGAAACCAGGGTCCCTCATGTCATCCTCAGTAACTATGCTCTGAAAGGTTTTATAATAAAGAATATATTTTTAAAAATTCTACTTATTTATTTGTTCTATATTGTTACTAACCTTGAGAATTGCCTGGAAACATTGCCTTAATATCACGAGTTCAAGTGAGTTAATAACACCAGCGATCTGGTGTTTAAAACTTTTCTTTGGGGCAGCCCTGGTGGCTCATGCGGTTTAGCACCGCCTGCGGCCCAGAGTGTGATACTGGGGACCTGGGATCCAGGCCCACGTTGGGCTCCTTGCATGGAGCCTGCTTCTCCCTCTGCCTGTGTCTCTGCCTCTCTCTCTCTGTGTGTGTGTCTCTCTCATGAATAAATAAATAAAATCTTAAAAAAAAAACAACTTTTTTTTTGTTTCTGAGAGAGGATGTTTGGCTTTAAATTGGCTCAACTTGGGATCCCTGGGTGGCGCAGCAGTTTAGCGCCTGCCTTTGGCCCAGGGCGTGATCCTGGAGACCCGGGATCGAATCCCACGTCAGGCTCCCGGTGCACGGAGCCTGCTTCTCCCTCTGCCTATGTCTCTGCCTCTCTCTCTCTCTCTGTGACTAGCATAAATAAATAAAAAAAAAAAAATTAAAAAATAAATAAATAAATAAATAGATAGATAGATAGATAAATAAATAAATAAATTGGCTCAACTTGGACAAGTATCCTGAGAGGAATAAAAAACTTGCAGTCATGGGTTCTGGTAGGTAAGGCTCTTTTGAAAGTAAGTAACTAACATATTTCAGTATATACTGAGGAAAAAATGATTAGGTTATCTGCACACATAACTGGGAGACCAGAGGTAAATCAAGAGATGCAACTAAATGTTCTCAGAAATACCTTTCTCCACTGCACACTCGTCTTTTCCCTCCTTGGCTTCGATCTCTCTCATTTTACATTTTGGGATTTTCCTCCAGGGAGGAGAAGGGCTGCCATCATTCCCAGGCTTATGTCCTCACAGCTCTACATCCACATAGCAAATCTTATGGAAGAACTCTGATTGGCCCTGCTCCTATCACTTGCTTACCCCTGGACCGATTTCTATCATCCAGGTGATGCGGGGCCACGACTGGTCAGAATTGGGTGCCACACCTACTGCGGTAATCAAGGGGGATTGATAGCATCACTAACATAGCTCAGAGTTGGGGGAAGAGCCTTTGTCCCTGAGAAAGGAATGCTGGGAAGGAAAAGGAACCAAACTGAAGGAAAACATCCAAGACAGGATCTCTCTTTCCAAAATGCTATGGCCTTTGAAAGTCTGCTTTTCCTAAAAGTGAAAGATAATAACTTCAGATTTATTGATATACATTTTCCATTGTGTGTTTTTATGAGTTGTAGCAGGGACACAATGCTGTACAATTCAAAGAGGGCATCATGCATGTTGCTTATAATTGAACAAAATGTGAATAGTGACCCCCTGAACTTGTGCATTGTGGTAGTCCTGAACTAGAATAAAGTTGTTAGGAATTGCATCAATTGAGGAAATAATAAACAGTAAGTAAATAAATGTTATTTAGCTGATTGCATATACATATTGATCAAATGTGCTAAGTTTTTGCAGCTTCAGTCATGCTATTGGTTGACAATTGGTTGCAGTGTTTACCTCATGAGAGCTCTGAAAGGACAGATTCTTGATAAGTTGTCATGCTTCAGTCCTTATATCAGCAGATTTTTCTTCTGACTATTAAAAAAAAAAACACTAGCAACATCCAGCTTTCTGCTTAATGAAATGTACTTCCAGGTAGAGAGTTAGCAGAAGAGAACCCCTTTTTTCTACTTAGAATGCATCATTGTCTTCCAGAATATAAATGCTGTGCCTACATATATGTGCCCCAAGGGATTGACTCTTGAAATAACTTCTTAATGATATTAAGAGAGCAATTAGAGCCACCCTTAGTTTTCAGTATTTCCAGCATAGATCTTGTAAATAACATCAAACTCAGAGCCAATGTAGAGGCTGTTGATTTTCTTGAACTTTTGCCTCAATCAATGCTATTAAAAATGGTTAAAAGAAAAATAAACCTCATTGCACAT